ATAGGTACATGCAATGTAAGTACATACAGTATAAGCCAACATAGGTACACACAGTATAAACCAACACAGGTACATGCAATGTAAGTGCATACAGTATAATCCAACATAGGTATATACAGTATAAGCCAGCATAGGTACATACAGTCTAAGTACATTCAATATAAGCCAACATAGGAACATACAATATAAAACACAACTTAAGATAACTCTCTGGAAGATTACTTATTGAGCCCTATACCCTTGGAGAAGATGGAACCTATAGAACTACTGCAGTCACGCGACAAGGGTGTAAGATGCTCCCTCTAGAAGTGCAAGAAAATGGAAAAAAAGGCACTACCAAAGCTGATAGTGAGAAGGAAGATGGATGAGAACATCTTGTCCCTGTGAGACATTCCTGTCTCAAAGAGTGAAAATGTAAAGATGCTGGAATAAGGGATATCTGGAAAGGAATGTGTGTAAAACACGGCCTATATGGCACAGAAGAGAGCCGATAAAGCATTGAGATGTAACAAAGGCCTGTGACGTGGAAGACAATGGACACAGACTACATAACACAGACACCATAACATAGACACAGATGACATAACACCGAGACAAGTTGCAACGGCTTGGCACGTTCCCCTTAGGGACCCGAGAGGCCTAGCGCAAGATGAGCCACAGGCCGATGAGGCCAAGGGAAAGGAAGCCCTATGACGACAGCACATGATGATGAAATGTAGCTCATTAAAGGAAGTTTGGGCCAAAGCAGTTAAGAGGATGCCCAAGAGGCTCAGCAAGCCTAGAGAAGGAAGCGGACTGCCGGGTGACCGTGGCGATAGCTCTGAACCTGAAGGCGAGCTCCTCAGGGGAAAGAGCCGTGCCGATGTCGAGTCGAGGAAGGCAGATGACGCAAAGTTCACGAGAATGTGGAGACGGGTCGGAACTGCCCTGCCCGGCAAAGGCTCTGGTGAGGCTGAGGACAAACCCTCTCCCTTTAATTCCAGAGAGCCTGGCCCGCTACAGACCTCTCCACTAAGCTGACATCAGATTGCCTCCTGTGATAGGAAAGGCTTTTCCCCTTCTCCCAACCACTGGCCCCGACACTTAGCTTTTGGAAGACGAGCGGACAAAAGCCATTGTCGGTCGGACGTGGACGTTGAGATGTTCTCAATGTGTGTGCTTCGGTGCTGCCGCTTCCAAGCTGTGGCTACAAGCCTCCCCAGGGTACCTAAGGCAAAACAGAAAAGGTGACTATTGCCCTCAAAAACAGTAATACCCGGGACTCCTCCGCACCCCTGCCCCAGCTCACCTCAAGTCTTGATTTGACTCCGGAGGCCGCCCAGAAGGTACCTGCAAAAAGAAAAGGGACACGCTTAGCATTCTACTGCATAACGCTCGGCTATGAGTCAGCCTGCCTAAACCCCAAAACACCTGCCCTCCTCTGTTCCTCGGCATGCCTAGGGCAGCAACAGCACCTGCAAAGAAACAAAGCAGAAAAGCATGCTGAGATACTGTGAAAACACAACCTCCCAACCCTGACAAGTATGCCACACCAATACCTTCAGCTTGCACCCACCTGGTATGGGCATGCTGGGCTAGGATAGATGGCAAGCGGACCATCTAAAATAAAAAGAAGAATAATACATACTTAGAGCCGCACAAAAAACTGAGACCTCAGAAATAACAACAGCTTCGGTACCCTACTCAATGCTCACCTTGCCCACTCAGCCTTGACAGCTGCTCTCTGCCTTGACTTCCTAAAAATAAAAACAAAGAGCAGAGCTGAAACAGCCACCATTTATGCTTCCTCTGCAGAGACAGTGACTGACCTACACGGGGGAATCCCCTCACCCAGGATGGGTGGCTCTGCCCTGGATTTTATCCTTCTGCAACTAAAAGAAAGTTAGGATGAAAGTCACAGGGCTGCAGGATACCTTATGGGCTCCAGCTATCCAGTGTCCATCTCCAAATCCCATCTAGAGTCCACCTGCACCCCACATTACACATTTCAAGTCCCCGGGACTTCTCCTATTGCAGCAGGCCATGCGGCAGGGCAGAGAAGCCCTGGCACAAATGTGTGCAGACACCTATGACACAGAACGTGACAAACAGGGGGACATGAAACACGACACATCATGCTTGTGGTGAGGGCCTCGAGGGAAGAAGGCTAAAGGGACCCCAAAGACACACTAGGAAACACGGCACACCGGACAACACGACACAGACCGGAGCTGTTCTGCACTGCCCGCCTGAAAGCTGCCATCAAAAGTAGAGCCTCTCCCTTTAGCTGTCCTAAGAGGCCCTTGGAGAAGATTGCTTTTCGCTCTGCTCATTTTTAAATCTGTCCCAAGAACTCCCAATCTGCTACTCTCCCATGTCCAGGCCGTGGCTCCCAGCTTATCTTTTGGATGATGGGTGATGCGGATCCACGTTGCACCTGAAATGAGTCTGCCTCGGAGGGCCCCGTGATGGCCTGTGAGCCTCTGGGTCAGCTAAAATAAAGAAAACCAAAACCAAAGTGTCAGTCCAGAGTTATGTGGGCCAAATCCCACCAAGGCAGCTACTTGCCCTCTCCTGAGTGTGCCTGGCTCCTTCAGCCTAGCGCTTCATCCTGATTCCAAGGCTTGGTATTCATTAGCAGTGGCACCTGGGTTAGAGAAAGGCAAAGTAAAATGGCATTCCTGTGAGTGCAGCGGATGACCTTGTGTGCTGTAAGACATGGCAATGCCTCTGCTAGGCTTCTGAACAGCCTTGTGTCAGGAGGTTCTCAAATAAACAAATAAACACCCTTTCTCACCCTGCTGTCTTCAAACCTCCCCCACTCACAATAACTCCTAACTGGATACCTGATCACCCTCCCTCTTCTAGTCACAATCCTCAACTCACCTGAAGCCTCAATCTCAAACATCATCCTTGACACTGGGCAGATCCCTCTTGTGATATGATGAATCTGCTGAAAGATTGTTGTTCTTGAGAGCTGAGCAATAACAACCACTTCTCTCCGCTGCTCACCTTGGCTGCTGGTCTCCAGATTTACTTCCTAAACAGAAAGACAAAGAACAGAGCTGTAAAACAGTCACCATATACACTTCTGCTGCAGAGACAAATGGGGCCTCACCTGCTCGGGGCAATCCCCTCACCAAGGATGGGGCCCTCCGGCCCAGATTTAATCCATCTCATTCTGAAAAGAAAGTTAGGACAAGAGTCAAACTGTGGCAGGATAACTGATGAGCTCCAGATATCCTGTGTCCATCTACAGATCCCATCTAGAGTCCCACTACACCCCACATTACACATTCCAAGTCCCTGGGCCCTCTCCTATTGCACCAGGCTATGCAGCAGGGCAGAGCAGCTCCGGCACAAATGTGTGCTGACACCCGTGACACAGGACAGGACGTGACAAACAATGGGCACAAGACACAGACAGAAATCTCTTGGCAAGGAAAATGGCTGCAAGGACTGAGAGAATGCAAAAGGAAATGACCGAGCTGAGACCGATGGTGAGCTGAGGCTCAGAAAACCCTGGGGGAAGAAGATGCTAACTGAATGTTTTATTCCAAGGACAGCAAAGATGGATGCCTAGGAATCCTATAGTCAGAATCCTCTACCTAACCTCATATTATTACAAGTCCTAATCCACCACAATGGATCCAGGTGGGGCATAGCTGTCCATACAGCCCAGAACAAGACCTGACAAGACATCTGACTGGATGCTTCCAAAGACAGAACTTTTGACTGGGGAGCTCAGACAGGTATCAGAATCGCATCTATGGCCTGGGTGCCAGGCCAGGGAATGCAGAGATCAGAGATGCTAACAATGATGCCAAGGTTTCTGAGAGGCCCCTCAAAGGGCTAAGGAAAAAGACATGAGATACACAAACAACACATAATGCACAATAGACAAGAGACAGAAGACACACCGGGACTGCTCTGCCCTGCACACCTCAGCACTGTGATCAAAAGTGAGACTTGGCTTTTATGGGGCCTAAGGGGCCACTTCATGACCACCCCCCCCCTCCAAATTGGACTCAAAAACCCCTGCCAGTAATTCCCAAACCAGCACCCTGCCTTCATCCCCTCTGTGGGTCACAGCCCTCTATCTCTCAGACATCTGGGGATGCTGGTCCCTGTCAGGTGCAAAGAAAGGCCACCTCGTCACCTGGGAAGGTCCTGCTGGCACCACGCTGGTGTCCCTCAAACAGCTGTAATAAGAAAACCAAACATCAGTGCCTGATCTTGGCACCACATCAGCCAAAACCCCAGCAGTCTGCTACTCACTGTGCTCCTAAGAAGGCCCAGAACCTCCTAACCCTGACCTTCTGCCACACATGGAATGCATCTGCACCTGAAAGAAAGTTAGAACATATGGCAAACACCACCAGGATAACTCACAAGCTGCAAACACCTTATGTCAATCTAGGAACAGCATCTAGATCCCAAGTACAGCCCACATTACAAATTTAAACTCCCCAAGGCTTGTCCCCATTGCAGCAGGCCATGCGGCAGGGCAGAACAGCTCCAGCACAAATGTGTGCAGACATCCGTGACACAGAACGTGACAAACAGGGGGGACATGAAACACGACACATCATGCTTGTGGTTGAGGGCCTCGAGGGGAGAAGGCAAAAGGGACCCCAAAGACACACCAGGGAACACGGCACACCGGACAACACGACACAGACCGGAGCTGTTCTGCACTGCCCGCCTGAAAGCTGCCATCAAAAGTAGAGCCTCTCCCTTTAGCTGTCCTAAGAGGCCCTTGCAGAAGATTGCTTTTCCCGCTGCCAATTTTTAAATCTGGCCCAAGAACTCCCAACCTGCTACTCTCCCATCTCCAGGCCGTGGCCTCCGACTTATCTTTTGGTTAATCGGTGATGGGAATCCACGTTGCACCTGAAATGAGTCTTCCTCGGAGGGCCCCGTGATGGCCTGTGAGCCTCTCGGTCAGCTATAATAAAGAAAACCAAAACCAAAGTGTCAGTCCAGAGTTATGTGGGCCAAATCCCACCAAGGCAGCTACTTGCCCTCTCCTGAGTGTGCCTGGCTCCCTCAGGCTCCAGCTTCATCCTGATTCCAAGGCTGTGGCCTTTATTAGGAGTGGCACCTGGGTTAGAGAAAGGCAAAGTTAAATGGCATTCCTGTGAGTGCACTGGATGACCTTGTGTGCTGTAAGACATGGCAATGCCTCTGCTAGGCTTCTGAACAGCCTTGTGGGGGGTCCTCAAATAAACACCCTTTCTCACCCTGCTGCTTGCAAACCCCGTCCCAATAACTCCTAAACTGGATACCTGCTCACCCTCCCTCTCCCAGTCACAATCCTCAACTCACCTGAAGCCTCAATCTCAAACATCATCCTTGACACTAGGCAGATCCCTCTTGCTACATGATCAATCTGCTGAAAAATTGTTGTTCTTGAGAGCTGAGCAATAACAACCACTTCTCTCCGCTGCTCACCTTGGCTGCTGCTCTCCAGATTGACTTCCTTAAAAGAAAGACAAAGAACAGTGCTGCAACACAGTCGCCATACACACTTCTGCTGCAGAGACAAATGGGGCCTCACCGCTCGGGGCAATGCCCTCAACCGGGATGGGGCCCTCTGGCACAGATTTATTCCATCTGAATCTGAAAAAAAGTTAGGACAAGAGTCCAACTGTTGCAGGATAACTGAGGAGCTCCAGATATCCTGTGTCCATCTACAAATCCCATCTAGAGTCCAACTACACCCCACATTACAAATTCCAAGTCCCTGGGCCCTCTCCTATCGCACCAGGCTGTGCGGCAGGGCAGAGCAGCCCCGGCACAAATATGTGCAGACACCCGTGACACAGAACAGACAGGACAGGACAGGACAGACAACGGGGACACAACAGGAACAGAAATCTCTTGGCAAGGAAAATGGCTGCAAGGACTGAGAGAATGCAAAAGGAGATGACCAAGCTGAGACAGATGGTGAGCTGATGAGGCTCAGAGAACCTTGGAGGAAGAAGATGCTAACTGAAGGATTTATTCCAAGGACAGCAAAGATCGATGCCCAGGAATCCTATGGTCAGAATCCTCTGCCTGCCCTCACATTCTTACAAGTCCTAATCCACCATAATGGATCCAGGTGGGGCAGAGCTGTCCATATAGCTCAGAACAAGACCTGACAAGACATCGGACTGGATGCTTCCAAAGAGAGAACTTTTGACTGGGGAGCTCAGACAGGTATCAGAATCGCATCTATGGCCTGGGTGCCAGGCCAAGGAATGCAGAGATCACGGATGCTAACAATGATGCCAAGGTTTCTGACAGGCCTCCATAAGGTAAAAGACATGGGATACACAAACAACACATAATGCACAATAGACAAGTGACACGAGACACACCGGGACTGCTCTGCCCTGCACACCTCAGCACTGTGATCAAAAGTGAGACTTGGCTTTTATGGGGCCTAAGGGGCCACTTCATGACCACCCTCCACCTCCAAACTGGACTCAAAAACCCCTGCCAGTAATTCCCAAACCAGCACCCCGCCTTCATCCCCTCTGTGGGTCACAGCCCTCTCCTTATCTCTCAGACATCTGGGGATGCCAGTCTATGTCAGGTGCAAAGAAAGGCCACCTTGTCAGCTGGGAAGGTCCTGCTGGCACCGGGCTGGTGTCTCTCAGACAGCTAGATTAAAGAGAACCAAACATCAGTGCCTGAGCTTGGCACCGCATTGGCCAAAACCCCACCAGTCTGCTACTCACCACGTTCCCAAGAAGGCCCGGCACCTCCTAACCCTGACCCTCTGCCATGGATGCAATGCACCTGCACCTGAAAGAAAGTTAGAACATATGGCAAACATCACCAGGATAACTCACAAGCTGCAAACACCTTATGTCAGCCTAGGAATAGCATCTAGAGCCCAAGTACAGCCCACATTACAAATTCCAACTCCCCATGGTTTGTCCTATTGCAGCAGGCCATGCGGCAGGGCAGAACAGCTCCAGCACAAATGTGTGCAGACACCCGTGACACAGAACGTGACAAACAGGGAGACATGAAACACAACGCATCATGCTTGCGGTGAGGGCCTCGAGGGAAGAAGGCAAAAGGGACCCCAAAGACACACCAGGGAACACAGCACACCGGACAACAGGACACAGACCGGAGCTGTTCTGCACTGCCCGCCTGAAAGCTGCCATCAAAAGTAGAGCCTCTCCCTTTAGCTGTCCTAAGAGGCCCTTGCAGAAGATTGCTTTTCCCTTTGCTTATTTTTTAATCTGCCCCACGAACTACCAACCCACTATTCTCTCATCTCCAGGCCGTGGCCCCCGACTTATCTTTTGGATGATCGGTGATGGGAATCCACGTTGCACCTGAAATGAGTCTGCCTCGGAGGGCCCCGTGATCGTCTGTGAGCCTCTTGGTCAGCTACAATAAAGAAAACCAAATACAAAGTATGAGTCCAGAGTTATGTGGGACAAATCCCACCAAGGCAGCTACTTGCCCTTTCCTGAGTGTGCCTGGCTCCTTCAGGCTCCAGCTTCATCCTGATTCCAAGGCTGTGGCCTTCATTAGGAGTGGCACCTGGGTAAGAGAAAGGCAAAGTTAAATGGCATTCCTGTGAGTGCACTGGATGACCTTGTGTTCTGTAAGACATGGGAATGCCTCTGCTAGGCTTCTGAGAAGCCTTGTGTAGCGGGGGGTCCTCAAATAAACAAATAAACACCCTTTCTCACCCTGCTGCTTGCAAACCTCCCCCCATCCCCAGTAACTCCTAACTGGATACCTGCTCACCCTCCCTCTCCCAGTCACAATCCGTAACTCACCTGAAGCCTCAATCTCAAACATCATCTTGGACACTGGGCAGATCCCTCTTATGACATGATGAATCTGCTGAAAATTTGTCGTGCTTGATACAGCCTGGAATTTCAGGGAGTTGCACTCCTCAATTAAAGAAAAAAAAAAACACAAAAACAATAAAACCCAAAAACACTGAAATCCCCACAAAAAGAAAAAAAAAACCACAGAAACCACCAAAAAATAAAAAAAACCAATGAAAACCAACCAAAGAACCCCAAAAAGAAAACAAAAAAAACCCAAAAACTCCACCGAAAAAAATCCAACCCAAAAAAAACCAGAGCAAAACCAAAAATTACAAAAGCACCTTACTACTCCTAGACACAAAACCCAAAATCACAAACCTAAATATTCCCTGTATTCCATGTTATTTTCTTCACAGAATCTTCCAAGCCTCTGTGCTTTAGACGCCCAGAAACACCTGCTGAAAACAAGCTGAGACGAGCTGAAAGAGCCTCTTCACTGAAATGAGAGGAGAGCTCTTACCCCAGCACATACCAGAGAGGGAATGAAGCCCCTCAGCCACGGCTGGGGTTAATATACCCCTGATGGTGCCCGCCCCTCGTTCCCATGGCACCCAGGAAAAGGCAGGGGGTGAATCCCACCGGGTATAACAGCCCTCAGAGCAGCTGCAGCTGTTTGGCCTCTCTGACTCACATTCAAGGGCAGTAAGTGGCTTCTTATAGAAGAAAACTCTTCAGAAAAATAGCCGTGCTTTCTTTTTTGCAACAACTACTTGGAGCAAAAGAACAGAAAACTGGCAAGATATAAAACTTTGTGGTAAGGTTACATAGCTGGATAAATTGGGTAATTGGTAATTTGCTGTTACCTCACATAATTATTCTGTGTTTAACAAAAGCCATCTGATAAATTCACACCCAGAACTCCAGCAGCCCAGCTGGCCCTACCAAATCTGTATGTTTATACATACGGTAAACAAAACCAAAATCCCAGTAATAACTATCAGAAGTCTATGAAAGAAATCTCTTGAAATTAATCCTACCTCAAATACAAACCAACCCATCCAAAGTTAGCTTCACTCAACAATTTACACAGAGTTAATAACACCAAGAAATAAAACAACACACCATATACCACCAATTAATATAATAGTGAAGAAAAAAAAAACACTTTTTTTTTTAATTTAAACTAACTTCTTTTATTAGGTAGAACAAAAGCTTTTGCCAGGACTGTAACAACAACTTCTTCTCTTTCTGAAATGTCCCTTCTCACTCCCAAATTCCTTACAACTTCTGAGTTTAAATCCAAGCAAAAAGGAAAATTCATGCACTTGTGCGTTCGATGCTCCTGTCAGATTCTCTGTTTCCCTCCACATCATCTTACACTTTCAGTCTTCAGGCTGCCGTGATGAGTTTGTCGGAAGAATTGGTAAACGTTAAGAGAGGATTTCCCTGCCTCCCTCCCCAAAGCTGGTTTCCTTAGTGCATTTCACTCAATCCCAAGCCGGCAATGATGCACGCTCACCTCAAGCATGCAAGGCTCACAGCTGCTCGGCTAAATTCGGCTGTTATCGGCTAAACTCGGCTATTGTCGGCTCGCTTCGGCTGGACTCGCCTCTTCGGCGCGGCTCGGCTCGCTTCGGCCGAACTCGAAGCCGCTCCGTGCGTTCGGCTCGCTTCGGCCGAACTCGGAGCCGCTCCGTGCGCTCGGCGCGGCTCGGCTCGCTTTGGCCGAACTCGGAGCCTCTCCGTGCCTTCGGCTCGCTTCGGCCGAACTCGGAGCCTCTCCGTGCCTTCGGCTCGCTTCGGCCGAACTCGGAGCCGCCCTTTTTGCTCGGCGCCGCTCGGCTTCATTTGGCCGAACTCGGAGCCGCTCCGTGCGCTCCGTGCGTTCGGCTCGCTTCGGCCAAACTCGGAGCCGCTCCATGCGCTCGGCGCGGCTTGGCTCGCTTCGGCCGAACTCGGAGCCTCTCCGTGCCTTCGGCTCGCTTCGGCCGAACTCGGAGCCGCTCCGTGCGCTCGGCGCGGCTCGGCTCGCTTCGGCCGAACTCGGAGCCGCTCCGTGCGCTCGGCGCGGCTCGGCTCGCTTCGGCCGAACTCGGAGCCGCTCCGTGCGCTCGGCGCGGCTCGGCTCGCTTCGGCCGAACTCGGAGCCTCTCCATGCCTTCGGCTCGCTTCGGCCGAACTCGGAGCCGCTCCGTGCGCTCGGCGCGGCTCGGCTCGCTTCGGCTGAACTCGGAGCCTCTCCGTGCGCTCGGCGCGGCTCGGCTTCATTCGGCCGAACTCAGAGCCGCTCAGTGCACTCGACGCGGCTCGGCTCGGCACCCTGAGGGCGGGCAAGCGGCACCGCCTCACGTTAAACTGGCCCGGCTCGGGGCTCTCCTGCTGCCGCGTCCCGCAGGCGGCCCGGCCATCGCACGGACACGATCGGGGCGCAGGGTGGCACAGGAGCTCATTGGGCTGTGACCGCACTCGCGCTAATTAGCGCGCACGAGAGCAGCGTGTTCGGTTCGGCTGAGCTCGGCTCGGTTCAGGCAGCCTCGCAAGCCTGGCCTCGGTTCGCTCGAGGCCGTCAGGTTCGGCCGGTCTCGCCTTGGTTCGGCTGAGCTCGTTCCATTCGGCCGAAGGCGGCATCGTTCGCTCGTGTTTTTACAAATATCTTTCTATATTGACTGTATATTTCTATATTTAGATTTATATTTCTATAATACTTCTTTTATTCAAAATAAAACCCCCATCTCTAACCAAATAAATACAAAAAAACACCTTCTTTCAAACGATGTTGAAATATTTTTATACTTTTGTATAATTATATTCACATTTATATTTATAGTTTATTTTGATGCAGTGTATTAATAATTACATATAATATATATAAAATTCTAGAAATAGATTTAAATTATTATTTATATTATGTATCATATCTACTGCTAAAACTAATTTGTTCTTGTTTTTAAACTTTATATATATATCTGTATTTATTTATGATATATTCCTATACTTACATTTCTACCTTTATATTATTTGTATTTATAATTTTTATAATCAAACCCCTGCCTATTGACAAATAAAAAAGCCCTCTTTATTTAACTGTTTAAAAAAATTATTTTTATATTTATAATTTTCATATTTACATTTAAAATTTATTCTATATTACATGAGAACACACCTGCTCCTGCACGCCAGTGGGGCTCCCTCTCCTGGGGACCTTGGGGTGCCCCAACGGCATCAGAGCCCCGAGTCTTCACCCCCTTCTCCTCTATTTAGAAACTACACTACACCTTTTTTCTGGAAACAAAGACATTACCTAAATCCTCTCCCCGTGTCCCAGACAGATGGATATTCAGTTATTAGTTGGCTGGGCAGCAGTTTCTTAAATAGAATGATAAACAAGATGTGAACATTTTAGCTACAAGCAAATAGGCAAATCTGAACAAGGTACTGGTGGCCAACACCAACCACCGAAGTTATTTTGAAGGAATTTTTTAAACAATAAAATAATGATACCACAAAAATTAAGGAAAAAGCTAACTACTGGCTAAGAAAGAAGGAAAAATTAACTTTTGACAGCAACAGCTGAGCGCTGCTCCGTGTGCTCAGATCATCAGGAACTGGATTACACGTGCCCGGATGGACTGGAACTGCTCTGCTGCAGATTCAGGAGACGATGGCAGAGAGGGGCTGGCCAAGGCGTCGTCCCAGTTCCATTTCTGTGTGACGAGAAGCGGTTTGTTCCCAACAGCTGCAACAATCCCCAGCTCGCTTCCGTGGTGAGTACCGATGGCACACAAATGGCAGCCCGAGGAAATCGTGTTCTGGGCTCTAAGTGGTTGGGACAGGGTCTGATTTTTTGTTTTGTACTTGTATGATGATTAGTACGACAGGGCTCTGATGGATGACATGGCAGCACAGAATTAAAACCTCCTCAATAGGATTACATCAACTTCTAGGAAAAGACAAAAGCCTAGGACCCTTCTGAAATCTACTTTTAATCCAAAGCACACAGATTGTCACTATGCTGCACCTTCCAGCTTTTCAAAGCAGCTTACTTCTGAAGACCAGGAAACATTGATTTCTACAGAAACAATGGGCAACCCCCAGGCTAATCTAAGCACTACTGTTTAATAGGGGACCTGCCAGCGTGCCAGTCCAGCCTACAGTGTGCTTTATTTCAGTCTAACATCCCCACAAAATTCTTCTCATGTCTCCCAACCCTGAAATCTTATTTTCTCTTAAAGCTTCTCATCATTAGCAATTTCCAAGTAACATGGTTTTTTTACAGCATTCAAAAATGTCATGCTGGACTGTGCTAGAGAGGAATCTGCAAATATAAGCTTAGCAAAGTTTGAATTGACTTGTCCAGAGAAAAAACCTACAAGTGAACACCTACACCTGCCTACAAAGAGCTAACTAGCCCCTGGCAGCTGCCAGCATCAAAGCACAGTGGATGTTTCTAATACAGGGTAAGGATAACAATATCACCTGTTGTTCTCTCCAGCTTGTTTTCCCTGCAGTCATATTTTGCTTCTTATGATTTTTTTAGTCTCTGTATCTTCTTGCACAGCACCGAGCCCGACGACAAGGATACGAGAGTCTTTCCCTGCCGTACGGACAGAACCAGGAAAACAGTTAAAAAGAGAACAGGATCGTTTGAAATTCATACTTGCAATGAGAAGCAGCACCTAACCAACAGAACAAAAGTAAACAAAGCATGATACCTCCCTGGGGACAGAAGACTTACAAACTCTCCCGGCCCGCGGCAGCAAAGCACCGCCTCGCCCTCCGCCATCGGCGGGCGGCAGCGCCCCCGCCCCCGGCACCGCCGAGTGAGGCCGAGGAACCCCGCGGACGCTCCTTCCGCGCTGCTCGGCGCCGTGCGGGCGGCCGGACGGAGGCTTCGCCCGTCCAGCGTCACCGTCCCGCGCGGGAGAGGCGCCGGGAGCTGCCCGCGCACAGCCCCGCGCAGCCACCTGGCACGCCAGCCACTCATGTGCCGCGTCAGCCGTTGCGTCACACGCCGCGCCGGCAGCAGGGCTGACAGACACGGCTACGTCCCCCGCCACCGGGAGCTGCAGTCCCTCCTGGGCATCAAACAGGACCTTCACCCCTGGGCGGGGAAGGACCTGAGGCACCACCGCTCCTCCCGAATGCCCTCTCTTTTCCCCTCCAACTCTTTTTACTTTTTTCACTCTGTTTTTCACCCCTTCCCTTCCCTCTTGCTCTCCTGCTTCTTTTCCTTTCCTTTCCCTTCCCTTTCCCTTTCTTGTATTTCTGATCTTGGTTTACCTTTCTAGCTTTAGAATAAAAAAGCAGCAGTAGAAACTTTAAGGCTACCTGGGAGTAAAAAAAAAAACTCCAAAGCGAAAATGATTTAAAGAAAACTATTTATTCCCTGGGAGCCTGAAGTTTTCTACTGCTGCACGTGACATAGAGCTTTTATTCCTTCGCGCCTCGGGGCTGCGGGCAGCGAAGGCGGCAAAAAAGAACAGGGGCGACCCCCGCAAAAACTGCTCTGAAATAAATG